GCTGTTATGCTGTCCGTTTTTCTGTTCATTATTTCCTTATTATGCTTTATTTATCTTTTTGTAAGGTAGTTTAGCACCATTGCATCCGACCAGGCAGATATTCCTCGAGGACTCTGGGTTAAAGGTCGTAGACTTAACTGATCCTGGGATCTGATAGATGGACAAGAATTGTTCCTTTCTTTACCCCTGATTACCAGACGGAGGTAAAAAAGGCGCAGTGTATCGGTACAGCGGTCGTCAGATCAGTTGTCTACCCCACCAGTGAACAGTCAGGCTAAGATCAGACGGAGGTCTTCGGACCCTCCGTCGAGAGGGAAAATTTTGTAATAAGTGTGCGTGAGTGTGAGAATGCCTTCCAACCCCACGTCTTCCTCCCTTTTACTTAACTGCTTTCGATGGTTAGTTTCAGGGCATGTTTAGATTAGCATCCTTATGCTCGCATGTTTGCATCCATTCCTCTGTATTGCATGCACCGGGCTCCCATCCAGTGTCCTCTACAACGTTATGACACCACCATTCAGTGTCTTCACCAACGGTCTGACACGACCATCCAGTGTCTCCTATCCTTTTTTATTTTTATGTATTTTCTTGTTTTGTTCCTCTCTCCAAACTCAAGTTGGTTAGTTTCTATCCTCCTTGAGTTTGCGGGGGGCTGTTAGAATTTACCTACACCTACCACCACCTACTACCACACCTACTACACCTACCACCAATTTACCCTCACCTACTCCTCACCTACTACCCAAACCCTCTCCTATATAATGAGCTACTCTGCTTTGTAATATAACACATCAATGTATCAGATCAATCATAAACTCATCAATCAATAATACATAAATTTCTACACTAACAATATCACCATTTGTTAGTTTTCCAAAAAAGAATGCATGCTAAATCAAAGAGCTAGTTTTCCTAAAGAATCATTATGTGCATTCAGCAATCCGCATGGACAAGAATAATATACTCAATCAACAAATAATTGAAGTCAGTGCTCAAATTGTATGATTTCTTATTTGCATGTCAATAGAGAATAGGGTCAGAATACATCTTCTAACTTCAATGATATCTACTACAAAATCTGATAACAAGTCATATGATGCAGCCTATATTTGCAAACTTGGTTTATTTCATTTATTTTGGAAATGAGTAATAGTTTGTTAACTTCCATTAGTTGTTTTTGGCATATTTATAAGCTTATGGATGGGACGTGTCCACAACGAATCGAAGCAATCATGTGCTAGGCACATGTCTCTTAAGCTACATAAGATCATGACATATTAGCTATGAGAAACCAAGGACTAGGATCTATGAATTTTCTTTTTTATACCTATTCCTAACACTTTAGGGACATCGGTTGGATAATTGGGGGAAATTGTAAAGGTGGAGTCTGTAACTCTCTTTATTACTTCTCTTGCACTTCCTCTCTTCATTCATTCCATCTTTGTCTCTCAACCTCTCTTAATCAAGTTGGTGTTGCCAATGCCAGTGATTAGAAGCTTTTTCGGCATGGCTTGTTGCTCTTTCCTTTGCTTGTCACACTGTCATTGCCAAGGATGAACCTCAGTTCTCACCCTTCCTCCATACCTGTCCATTTCCTCTCGAAGTTAACATTTTATCAACCGATTTGTAACCAATTATAAAAGCTGGAGTGGTGTAATTTTAATAGTTTCAAATCCAATCAGGCCTTTATTTGTAGTTGTAGGTTATTAGTTTGTTTAGTCCTGCACATTGAAAAAATTAACCATTTCTTTTCCCATTGGTCATATCTTAGGTTCATAATTACAGCATATTTAGTAAATGTTTTAGTGATGTTTGTAATTGTAAATATAACACGCCTTACTTAATGAATTATATTTCAAAATCAATATTCTTTCTTCTTTTTTTTCTTTTTCTTTTTTTTCCCTCTTCACTCAATTTCAATTGTTTTCCTTGTTGTCTTTTTGGTTTTCATGCACACTTAATTGGTTGGCAGGTTCTGGTGCCTACCATAAAGTTCTCCACAATTTGTGTCTACAAAGGCTTAAATAACCCCATTGCTGCACTGCTCTTACATTTCACTTCTCAAGTTATTGCAAAAGGAAAATAAAATAAAAATCAATCAATTAAACAGCAGAAGATAAATCCATGTCCTTGTCAGTTCTATGGATTTGAAACATGCATTCAAACAACCATTACAATAAGAAACTAATCAAATCTAGTTTCTAACAATAGCATATGCCATTTAACATGCCAATTGAAATTAACTATTCATCAGCAACTACAATGGAAGGCTGACATAAATTAAAACAAAGTTGTCAACCTGAGTCTTTCCCAAACGAGAGTCAAGGTCCACTTCATAATCCCTGTGTTTCAAAGGTTTCCTTTGTATTGGGGGACCTTTTGCTGCAAAAGATGCAAACCCATCAAATAAAACTCCGATGCAGTCAAGACTTAATAAGTACACACAATGCATATGCATAGAGGATCAACTATAAATCAACCATCATTTCAAATTCAAAAATTAAATATATAAATATTAGTTAAATTCACTTACATTTGGATTAATACCGAGATTTTGTCTCCTACATTACAACAAAAATCAACCCATTAACTAGACAAATGAAAAAAAAAAAAATTGCCCCTTTTGTCATTTTGGTCCCTGTAATTTCAATTCACTTGATTTTGACCCTTAATTTTAGATTTTGTATCAATTTAGTCTAATTGACAATACCAATTAGGGTTTTTAAAGGAAAATGGTCACTAAGTTGGTTGAGGTTAACTCACTGAACAAATTTATAATTTTGCCCACAAAAGCATGACACATGCCGCTTATACGCGCATTTTCCATTGAAAAAACAATTGTAATCCATTGGACCAAATGGAGACAAAATCATAAATCAAGGTCAAAATCGAGCCAATTGAGATTATAAGAACAAATCTAAAATGACACAGGCTTTTCTATAAGAAATATCGGTGTAATTTGCTCAAAAAAAATTTAATACAGTGATCAAATAAGTTCTAAGAGACAAAGAACCTTTTGTTCGCACTCACGAGCACGTTCCAAATACTCTTCTCTATCGAACTTCCTCCGAAAAGTGTTGTCAACTCCAGCAGCCTGCATACAAACAAACACAGTTGATTTTAAGCATCATTTTTTTTTTTTTTGGTAACTTTAAATTTTATATCACAAGAAAACACCATTACAAAACAAACAAGGGGCACATCCCAGCACTTCAAAACAAAACAAAACAAACCCATACACTAAACCATGTCAGACAACAAACCCAAAAAAACAAAAAACAAAAAAAGAACTATAGAACCAGAACAAATACAGGGAGGGACTAAGCTTTATGATTGTAGCATAGAGCAAGGCAAACCCCACTACATACAAACTTGCCAATTTTGCAAAGAATTCTTAACTCCCCTCATTGAGCTAGCTCTAGCTCTAGCTCTAATATCCTTAACCATTTCAGCCACAATCACATCTTGATGTCTAAATTTCTGAGCAAAAACTCTTCTAGTCCTTTCTACCCAAACTTGGAGCAATTCACTTACAATACTTAGTTGACATTCATAAAAAGTATCTAATGAATTATGAGTTCAATACATCCTGTTTAGCAGAAAGACGGATATCCTTGCTCATTATCAGACAATCACTTATTCGCAAACCTCGTGTGGGGCTGATAATTTTCATTTCCCATCTCATGAAAAACCCTTTTCACTCCGCTTAGCCTTATCCCCCTCTAGGGGTGTTTTAGAGATAGGTTCTATGGCAACTGGATGATCTTATTTGGTCTAAATTCCTGGCGACAAACTCCTATGTTCCTTTCATTTCGTATTTTTGAACAAGTTCCTGAGTAACAAGCCTATATGTTGTTATAGAGTACAAGCCAAAGAAACTTGAACATAGTGCATCTCAGAATGCTGTTATTACAAGACCAACCTAAAGGATCACTGTAAATATGATTCAATCTAAGCAACTTTGCCCAAATACTCTCAGTAAAAGACATAAGAAGAACAGGTGTTCTTGATTTTAAGCATCATTGTTTGAAACAGTATCAATATACATGGATGTGCATGAAAGAAGAGTATGGAGAGAATTGAGCTTACATTTTTGCTGGGATGAGACATTGGAATTGGAATAGAATCTGAAGCTGATTTACAGTTTTTCTTGAGAGAAATTCGATTGTAAAGATGAATTCGAGAAAACCTTATTGAGAAGAAGAGAGTAGACAGAACCGAGGTATATTTTCGGATATTTTTAGTAGAAAATCTAAAAATAAAATGTGTTTTTAAAAGGAAAAAAAATAAAAAATTCCTTTAAAAAAAAAATCAAAATTGACATTTATAATCAAATAAAATTTTAATTTTTGATTTTATCAATTTAATTTTTTTTTATAACCATTAAACTTAATATAAGTATACATGAAATGTCGAAAATATCTTTTATTTATTTATTTTAATGATTAAAATATATTTTTCCTGTCGGTTTTACTTAAAGAAAATAAACAAATATTTAGATTGAAAAGAATTTTAAACATTTGTATTTAAATTGACAAAATTGAAAATTCATAGTTTATTTTGTTATAATGGCCAAAATCTATGAATTGTATGTAATTTTCCCAAAATAAATATTGTTACTTTTTTTTCTTTTAATATATATATATATATATTTACATTTCAAATATATGAAATTTCACATTATTAGAAATTATAATTTTAGAAAAACAATTCAGAAACCATAAAATTGCACACTTTTAAAAATATTTCTTAGAAGTGTGAATTTTTTTTTTCCATTTTTTATTCAATTGAATCTTATTTAATAGATCTTATCGAAAAGTTTTAAAATATATAAATGTTATAAGAAATGAATCTGTACATTAAAAAGTTATAATAAAATTTTATATTTTGGAACATAGAAAATGTTGATAATTTTCTCTAGATTTGTGATTTCACATAAATAGGGTTAAAAATGTCAAATACTATGTTAAAATTTTGAAAAATGACTTAGGGATTGTTTGGGATGATCTAAATAAGTGCACTTTTTCATTTTTTATAAAATATAGGTTGGGTTTGAAGTGATGTGGTAGAGAGGTGATATGATTTAAATAAGATGATGTGACTTAAATAGGATAATGACTTTTTGACTTTTTTGTGTTATGCCAAACTTAGCCTTAGTTTTCAAAACAACTTATATGATGAGACTTTATTATTAGTTAAGAAAAAAAGTCATTAAACCTAATAAAAGACAAGTTCATGCAACATGATTTTTTTTTTACTAATTTTCCAATTTTTTATGCCATAATCCATCAGCAATTTTTATGGTTTTATTTTTTGTGTTTCATCTTTAAACTATTGATTTTGTCTATTATCTCCTTAAAGTCTTTGATTTCCGTCTATGTGATCTAATTGGAGATGATTGTACAAATCATTATTAATCAAATTATAATTTGATATGTGAAAGGATATAATTTTTTAGCTTAGACAATTTAAATCATTTTTGTAGACAATTGATCTCGATGTGGCAGCCATCCCACACTGAACTAATAGATTTTCCAATAGTTATGGTAATCTATGTTGTTAGAGTCTCATTTCTTCTATTTGAGCCCAAGCGATGCGCTTCCTATTATTTTTTAAATTGAAAAGAGACCTATACTCACAGTTAAAAAAGTAAGAAGTTTTATTTTAATGTAGATATTAACTTAATATTACATATTTACCCCCTTTCGTGGTGAAGAAAAACAAACCAAAAAACAATAATGAGAGTTGTCCCATTGCACGGGTATAGACATCCACCCACAAAATATAAGTAGACGACATAGAGATGGATTCAGTCATTAGAATCAAAAGGAAGAGTGGGAGGGTAATTGAAGAGAGCGCAAAAAAAAAAACAAAAAAACAAAAGAAAGATAGACTAATCTATAGCCTCTGTCGAAAAATATAATTTAATGGTGTAAGTTTTTATTTCATTCATTGGATCTTTACAAGTAAATAAGTCATCCTAAGAACTAATATTTGAAAGATTAATGAGAGTATGAGTATAGATATGAATATGAGCTTATCGCAAAGGTAAAATGCAGTACTTTTGTAAGTATTCAAGGGTAAATACTTACCATTTCAATATAGATATTTGTAAATAAGTCGTACTAAGAACTGATATTTGTAAGTACTTATGGTATGATATTTTTTAATTTTATGTTATTTGTGTTTTTTACTATAACGACAAATGAATGGTCTCTAGTTATGAATAGATAATAAAACATGTGATAAAAAATGATGTATCTTTATTATTTCTCATATGTAAACCGAAGTTCTTAATATTGAACTCCTCCACTCAAAACACCAAAAAAAAAAAAAAAAAAAAACTAAAAAAAAGAATATCCGAAAGATGGATTATAGTGTTCAACTAAGAGTGCACAAATTAATTAGAAAATTTGAGAATTGAACCAACCCGACGACACATATGGATTGGATTGGTTCTCGATTTAGTTAATTAAATCAAATCAATCTAAAATCAGAACCCATATATTGTATAAATTTTATTTATGTTGATATATTTTTAGAAATTTCAAAACTTTTAAGATAATAGCCTCAAATTCTATTCTTTTAGGACCAAAATAACAAAATAATTTGAAAGACTATATTGCCCTAGAGCACAAGTAAAAGACAAAATATTTATAGAACACAATATATTTTTCACTAATTTCAATGCACTGTCATTGAATTTAATACACTTTTTAACATTGTTACATATTTTCAAAAGGCTTTTTATACCCTTCCAACATTAAACTATGACCATGAGACACTTGTTAGTATCTGCTTTAGTGTATTTGCTCATATCACCTATCTTCAAAGTGTCATTTATATGTTAACTTATTTGTCTACATGTTATCTCCTATTTATCTATATGTCACCGATCTATCCATAAAATATGTCTATTTATCTATATCACTATCACCACCAGCCACTGCCATCAACTTTCTTGGTTTTGACACTACCAATGATCTAAACAGTGCGACAAAATTATTTTTTTTCCAAAATAATAATTTGTCATTTTTATGAAACAATTTTATTTATCATGCCCTTATCTCAATACACGATTAATCATTAGACGTAATGCATGTCGCCATAAAAATAGATTTATCACCAATAATTTTTTATTTTTAATATTGTAAAACCATTATTTTAACCAAAATAGACTCAATTTACGTTTAATTGGTAGTGCATATAATTAGTTTGGTTTGGCTGTGAGCCCCAATTAAATTCTTGAAAGGTACTATAACAACATCCATGAGTTTTTCTCTTATTTTAAAATATTTTTTTATCATTAAGAATATTTGTACCGCTGAGATAACTTAGGCCTAATTTTATTTGGTAACTTCATTGAAAAATGTTAGAGACATAGGTAGCGTTTAGTAGAGTTTTTTAAATATGATTTAAAAATAGAGTTTTATTTTGAGTTTGTGAATTTTGGAATCATGATTTGAGTGAGAAAAATTTGTTTGGTTATGAGTTTTTAAAAAGAGTTTTGAATTGAGTTTTGGAGGGAGTTTTAAGTTTTTGAAATTAGAAAAGTTATTTGATTAAAAAACTTACAGCTCATAATCAAACAAACAACTCAAAATTCTATTTAAAGCTCATATAAAAATTTAAAAAATTTTGAATTTTTTTTTTTTGATTTACAATATCAAAATACTAGGTGCGAAAAAAAAAAAAAAAAAAAGGAACATTGTTCTAGTCAACTGGCCGGACATCCAAGAGGATGACCGAGTTAGCCAAATTTTCTCGCCTGAAAAGGAGTTTTCAAGGGTGGGTGTAAAATTATAATTTGAAAGCTCAAAATAAACACCACACTTAAATTAGTAGATGAAAATGTGTTTGGAATACCTAACCAAACACATCCTTAATTTTCTACTAAACACTCATATAGGTGTGAGTTCATATGGGTAAAAGGTTTCACACCTACACGAATTTTTTTTTTTTTTTTTTGGTATCACTAGCATTGGTCACTTTGATTTTAGCCAAAAAAATATTTATAATTTATTAAATAATTTTTTCTAGTTTTTCACCAGTTTTTTTTATGAAAAAAAAAGAAAAAAAGAAAAAGAAGAAGAAGAACAAAATGAAATTACAAAATTCTTCGAAATCTACTGCTATTATAAAATCGTGAAGAGTCTATCATGTTTTCACCTTTTTTTAAAAAAAAATCCGAATTCTATCCTTTCAAATCTACTATTTTTTCTAAAAGTCATGAAGAATCCTACATAAACCAACCATATCTTTTTATTTTTGGAGTTGAATACTAAAAAACGATATATTTGTTTCCAAGAGTCCTATATATAAACAAACCGTCTCCCGTACCAAATAAAATAAAATAAATAATCGTCTCCATATTTTTTATATTGATGATGATTGAAAAATAAAAAATAATTACTCTTTCTTATTTTCTTTGTATGTTTCTCTACTGATATACATAATATTTACAATTGTCCATCATGGATCAAATCACTATGAATAATTTTGGTAGAATCTTAAAATTGTATGCATTCGTTTAAATCTAAACAAAGAAAAACGCATGAGTTTTTAAAATAGAGATTGGTATTGTATCTCAATTTTTTTATTTTTACTTTCATACACTTGCTTTTTGTTTAAATTATATTTTACGAACTATAATATTTTACATGGTACTTTAATGACCAAGGTATGATGCCATAATTTTGAACAAGAATCACTTTCGTTGGTTTTACTTTTTAAATATGTTTTTCAATTTTTGATTTTTCACATTTTCTCAATTTTGGTGATTAAAGATACTGAAATTTATTCATTATTTTATATTTGAATTATACCTTTACATGAAAATCTAATATCTAATAATATAAATAAAATTAAAAAGTAAAATATTGGTAAAAAATTTATAAATTCAAACATATACTATTTATTATTATTATATATTTTGTTGTTGTTGTTGTTGTTGTTGTTGTTGTTGTTATTATTATTATTATTATTATTATTTAATATTAATAATTTTTCTCCAAAAAGAATACACAACAAATTATTTTCTAAGTGCATTTAGATTAAGGGCATATAAATCTAAAAGTAAAAAAAAAAAATTAATGAATTAATACGATTTAATTTGGAAATATCTGTCTAAATTGGGAAAATATCTGTTGGGGCTATGACTTCGGAACTAAAATTGACAACCTTAATGGGTTCAGAAACCGAAATTAAGTACATGGATATGCTAATGG